AATGTAATTCAGGAACTGAGTTTTTCTAATCTATAATGAGAACAGATGAGAACACTGGCAGTATTGGGACAAATTTGCTGGCCTTCAAATTTCCAGGAAGGACCTAGCTGCCAGGGATACCACTTGTTCAGATCCCATCAGATGCTTCAGCTGTCATTTTCCTGGAGTTGTTCATACTATTGGTACTTAAACTGTAATCCCCAGGCCAGAAACATCAGCAGCATTCAGGAACTTGTTAAACATGCAAATCTGGGGGCCCACCCCAGACCTACTCAATCAGAAACTTTGGGTATAGGGCCCAGTAACTATCAATATGTTTTATCAAGCCCTCCAAGTGATTCTGATACATGCTAATTTTTGAGAACCACTAAGTTCATAATCTTCTCCAGGAAAGGCACCAGGAGGGTCTACGTGTACCTGCTTATGCAGTGCAAGTAACTGTAACAGCCTAGCACATTCCTCAGTATTTTTTGTGACTGAATCTAAGATCAATCTCCCAAGCACACCAATCCCCAGCTAACTGTTCCAGCTTCAGATCCACATGAGGTCATTTTTACAATCAGAGAAATGTAAATATTTCTACCATACAGTGTATATTAAAGATGCTCAATGAATAAGCAACTACTTCCAACATTTTTCAAATACAAATATGCCTACTATTCAGTACAATTCAAAAGGTCCCCTATCTTCACTGCTGTTGTAGAAAATAAAAATGGTAAATGTAGACTTGGGATCTATGGTTTCTTGATGTTAAAGTACTAAATGCAGCAGCCCCAAGGAGGGATAATCTGATAATTTGGTGCACTAGGAAGAGTCCTGGCCTATATTATCTGTTGTGCACATACCATGGACAACGTAGACTTGGTAAATGGTAGGTATCTGTAAGGTACCCTTCACTTGCTACTTGAAAATAAATCACCCTCTTGGTTAAACAAGAAAAATCAAGGCATAATGGATAAGATTAGCCACCTGGACACCTTGAAGGACAAGGTGTTTTACAGGACAACAGCAGATGAGAGTTTCAAGACATAATTGAGGTTTAAATAACTATAAAAATGTGTAAACTAATCACATCTAAATAAAAAAATCTTATAGAAAGGAAGTGGTCTGTACAGAGTCTAGAAAAGGAGAGCTCAATACATAAAGATTTGATAATCTATTTTCATTACTGTTTAGGTCTCAGCTTAAATGTCACTTTCTCTATGGAATTCTTCCAGATTCTCCAATCTGATTTAGATCTCCTTTTATATACTCTCATAGTATTCTGAGCCTTTCCTGTACTTTTTTCAATAACACTTATTTATGTTATTCTGTGTTTAATGTGTGTCCGTTCTACTAAAATTTAAGTTCTACGAGGGTCATAGTAGGTATCTGGTCTTATTTACTATATCTTCAGGGCCTAGCATGGTACCTGGTAAAACATGAATTCCCTGAACATTTACTGACTGACCTTCTTAAGCAGAAACTCTAACTCTTCTCTAAATATATCTAGTACGTAGCTGTTTCTATTAGTGTTAATGTATAATAATTGTTAATAATTCTCACCACTCCATTCTCAAAACACACAAGAGCGCGCACACACACACACACACACACACACACGCACGCACCATGCTGAAGGCCGTAATTTATCTCTGTATTCTATACCTCCCGCATAGCAGGCACTCAGTGTATATCTGCTGTACTGAACCTAACTTTCTACCTAGACCTGGTTTGCTTTGAACCAGCAAATAACAAAGAAATGAACCATTTACTGGGACCTAGGTGTTACACTAGACTTTTATACAAATTATCTCATTGATCAAAGGGTAGAAAATTTCAGTTAGACTGGAGGAATAAGTTTTGGTGATCTATTGCACTGCATGGGGACCACAGTTAATAATAATGTATTGTTTATTTCTAAATTTCTGAAAATGTATTTTTAGCATTCTTACCACAAAAAAAATTTTAAGTTGGTGAGATGCTGGGTATGTTAATTAGCTTGACTGAATCTTTCTGTAACATATACATAGATCAAAACATCACACCGTACCCCCAAAATATACACAATTATTACTTGTCAATTAAATATAAAACAAATTATCTCATTTAATCTTCACAAGAGGTTGTAGTTACTGTCCCCACTTTGCAAATGAGGAAACCAAGGTGCCATTAAGTTTGGTAACTTCTCTAAGGTCATAAAGCCAGTTTGTGGAGTTGGAACTTATAACGGCCCTCCAACTCCAAAGCACTTTCTGCTACACTGTACTCAAAACTCGTAGTGGGAAGCATGTTGAATTCAAGGTGAAAAGGGACAGTATTCTCCCTATGTAGACAGACAATAGAGAACTGATATTAAAAAATGTCAGATGTGAGGGCGACCTGGCTGAGACATCTGTCACCCCACTGCTCGCCAGGGTTGATTCAGCTGATCTGGCTGGCTAGGCAGGTGTCCCCTTCCTCCCTCACCGCTCCAGGTGCGGCCCTCCTGGAGCTGCGCGCTTGGTTACGCTCGATCTTAGCCAAAAGGCCAAGAAGCGATGTGTACTTGGTTAAAGAGGACGACCTTCCCTGGTAGAGAACTGTTCTTTGGTCAAGGGTATACAAGTAGCTGCGCTCCCTTGCTAGAACCTTCAAAAGATGTCAATTTTCTTTCTGAGTTGCAATCCCAAGAAATTGTGCCTAACAGCCTGTCACAAAGCAGGGGTTGAAAACTCACAGCTGGTGCCAAATACAGTTTTAGAGAGGTCTTTGTTGTTTGCCATCAAAGTGTTTCTAAACATGTTGAAAACAGCTAATTCTAGTTGGAGAATCCAACTCTAATCCCCCTCTAGTCCCCAGCACTCACAACTGCCTTACACCCCACATGCTTTACTCACGTGCTTACCCTCTATCCCCTACCAAGCCTGTAATTCATTACTAGGACTCTAAAATGCTCTGACTACTCTGACTTTCTGAACTCTAGAAAATGAATTCTTTTTATACTCAGAGTAACATTATAACATTTCAAGGAAATAAATAAGTTTGGGGGGGGGGGAATGTCTTTTCTAATTTTACCAGTACCTCTCACTCACTTGTCTTTCGATTGCAACTCCACACCAAACAACTGAATCAAGTATGTAGGTTAAAAGCTTTGAGATATTTATCTACTCAGTGATATTTAATAAATACTTGACTAAACTGATCAATCATTTTGTGAAAGATTCTTCTACACAATGAAATGATCAATTCAGTGACTTATTTTTCCCGAGTCTGAAGTATATACGGAACTTAAAAAAACAACTCGGTAACACATAAATTAATTTGTACTATATCTTCCCACCAATTCATTCTACTTATGATAGATAACATAGCATAGTGTTTATACTAACAACTGTAAATCAAAATTTAGCCATTAGCCCATGAGGTTAAAAAACAAAGTCTAATCAGAAGACTCAAAACTGAGAATGGACATAGAATCTTCAGGGAAAAGATGAGAGAAGTGGTAAATTCAGTCAAGTCTGAAATCAAATGTTTTTTGAGTTGTAGGACTCTGTCCCAGACTTCCGCTAATTTTACGTAGTGTGTAGATAACGTAAGGCCATGTAAGCCTTCAGGACTCCTATAGCTCCAAAGCTTAAAAATAGAAAAATGAAGAACTCAAATGATACTCATCAAACATTGAAAATAAGACCTAAAATAGAAACACATGATTTTAATCTCTCATATGTCAACTTTAAATAATATACACGATGGAAGATGCAATTAGAAAATTACATACAAAGTGAACATCTTTAGACTATCAACTTACAAATGTGGTTGTAGAAGACAAACAGAATAATCTGCCCAGCACCCACTTGCAATTTCTACCCCTCTCCCGTGTCATGGTTAACAGGGTAAGATGCTTGGTCAGTAGAATGTGACATACCTTCTTCCTGACTGGTCCAAGGCTGGAAATGATAAGAAGCTGTGTTACCTGCCTTGTGGACAAAGCCACGTTGCTACAAGAGAGCAAATGCAGCTGATACAGGAAGTAAATTCTAAAAACAATGGACATGTCCAGCAGCATGAGCCCCTGGGTTCCAGTTTCTGGAAGCCCAGATGCCTCTGCACTTTTCCCACAACTACTCAACCTTTCCTTAATTTACAGGTATCAATATGTTACACTTTGTTCTTAGGTAATTTTCCTAATTAATGCAGTGTTCCTATATAGTACAGGTCATGGAAGAAAACGAAAATCAAAATTAGGAATTTCCAAAAGCAAGTACAAATAAAGTTACATTTAATATAATAAACCAGAGAAGTTTATTCATAAGGATACTCTCCTGTCTTATCAATTATTCTTACCTTTTCTGGTGTTCTATATATTGAACTTTTTTCACGTGCACTATAACTTGTAGGGCAAGATCGTCGCTGTATTATATGTTGGAGTCTTTCTAGCTCTTTCTTATAGTAATCTCGTTCTTCTTCTATACCTTTCAGAAATGTATCTAAACGAGAAGGTGATTTATCTCGACGTTTTATTCCATGTTCTAGTCTCATCCTCTCAACTTCCAAAGTTAGTTCTCTTTCTGCAAATTAAAGTAGTTAAATCTTAAAACAATGTTGCATGTATAATGTTGATTAGCCAAGTAAATTACATTAATAACTTTTAGAATGAAAGCTACTAAAAAATCATAAACTGTTTTGTATATATCCTGTAACAGCCAGATATATCAAAGAGGTAAATATTGAGAGGGAAGGAAAAAAAGGCAAAAATTAATAGTTTAAATAAAGTCCAATAAATCAAAGTTCTCCTGCTTTTGTCTTATCACAGGATGAATATTATTTAGTACAAGGTGAAGCAGAAAATTACCACGTGGCACTTTCTAGGGACCTGAAAATGCACTAAAAGAAAATATATCTACAATTAATCATAATACGTATAAATTTAACATTATGCTTGATTTTAATACAGTATGCACATAAACAAAGACATCAAAACAACTCGTCTTTCTCCAAATAAGCACAATTTATCAGCTTTTACCATAGAAACTGCCTTTTTATGAGTCAAAAGTAACTGAATACCGACAATTTCATATAGTTCAGCCTCATTTAATTTATGCTCATTATAATTATAACACTGAGGCATGGAATGATTTTCCTGACGCATTCTGATTCACTCCCATCTCTTCTTTCATTCATTTAACAGATACGTACTAAACATTTACCGTACGCCCATCGCTGGCTAAGGATTCAAATATGAGAAACACAGCTAAGGTCAAACAATTATTCTAATTGTAGTAGGATAAAAGTTACAAAGGGACAGCATGCAATGCAAACTGGAGGAGGAACTGGCAAATTCCTCCTAGGAAAGAGTGATGAAAGAGAGGTAAGAAGACAGTATGAGAATGGAAAGAATGGACAATTGTGATAAATGTTAAGAAGTCAAATAAGTGAACGAATGAAAACGTCCATTGCATTTAGCATAATGGAGGTGAATGATGCCCTTAACAAGAGCAGCTTTAGTGCTGCGGTGTGGACAGAAGTCAACTGGAATGAACTGAGGAGCTAAGGGGGTTGCAGGTGATCAAGGAGAAACAGCAAGTATGGATGATGTTTCAAGATGTTGAAACTATGAAGAAGAGGAAAGAGTGGCTGGAAAGGGGTCAAAGTTTTTGTCTCAGACTGAGAGAAGAGTTAGCATGTTCGAACGTCAATGGGAAAAAATAGCACAAAGACTAAAATTATGGAGAGGAGAACAATTAATATGTAAAGTTTCTAAAATTAGAGAGGACAGGACCCAGAGAAGAGATGGAGGCACTGGCCTTTCACAAGAGGGGTGCTCCTGCGTTGAACAGGAAGGATCGAGAAGATGGACGGGTTTAAAATTTGGGGCCAGGAAACTGAGGGAATGCCTGCCTCAAGGCTTCCATTCTCTTAGGAAAACTGGAGGTAAGATCACCCGCTCAGAGTGAGGGATGGCATGGGAGTCATAGGTTTATTGAGAATGCAAAGCATTTGAAATGTTCTCTCAAGAGAGGGAGAGACCAAATGCTAAGAGAAATGTGTAACATTTTCATACAACACTGGGGGTCCCGCTAAGGTTCAGGACCATCTAATTTACAGTGCTATCAATGGGCCTGGTGCACACACAAGTGGTGCTTGGCTGCCCGTGTGTAAAAGTGTAGAGGGCAAATGGTTCAGTTCATCCACGGCCGGGTATTTGGCAGGGGGTGCACACAGAGAAACCAGGGAGTTTGCTTGAGACAGCTGAAGGATTACACTGAACATGATAGGCCATAGCTAGCTATGAAAGGAAGTAAATTACAAACTTTTATACATGGTTCTAAGTACTTTAATATACCCATTTAATCCTCACAACAACCTTTTGGGGTAGGTGTCTTCATCCCCCCCACAGACAGGAAACTGAAGCACAGAGGTTACATAATGTGCTCTATTTATACAGCTAGTAAGTGGAAAACGGGTCAAATAGATTGTCCCCATGGATGCTGAAGGGCCTAGGATAGAGTCTCTTCTTAATACAGCACACTGGAATTCTTTCACTTCCTAAGACACACACAGTATGACGGCACCAAGCTTCTACACTTGCCATTTCCCCCACCTGGAAAACTGCCCCCGATCTTCACATGGCTGGTGTCTTGTCATGGAGCCTTTCAATCAGTCAATCTTTAGCACATCTTGCCATTCTATTTTAATACCTCTTATCATCTAAAATTAACTTCACTTACGTGTTACTAGTTTGTCTCCCTGGCATGAAAAAAAGGCTTTGCAAGAGCAAGAACCCTGTGTATCTTGTTTACCAGTATATACTCCAGCACCCAAAACCAAAGCCAAGCACATGCCCACACAACAGGTAATTCACATGCATCAGTCAAATGAATGAATGAATGAATGAATTCCTACATGTTCCTTAAACCAAGTTATTTAGGACTGGTACCTGGCAGAAAGTTAGCCTATTTCAATTGTGTGTGTATGTATATCTCAAGATGATACAACTAACTGCATTTTCTTAAAAATTCTGTACTTCAATTTTCTGCTATTTCAGAATGGTCTTCTTTTTAGTCTTCATTAATTCTGTTATCAGTCTGAGTCAAAGAAGAATATACTTCTATTGCAAAACATTCAAGCAGAGTTCCCTGTATCAACTACTAGTCAAAATATGAAAGAATTCTTAAGGTCCTTGAGGGAGAGAGATTTCTACTATTTCTACAGTGCCTAGTATGGTTTACAGTAAGCATTAACAAATATTTATTGAATGAATGAAAGATCACCTACCAAAAAAAATAATAAATAAAAAGGAAATCACAATCACTTTTTAAGTTATCAACATTTTACATCTTACCTGTAACTGCAAAATTTTCAATTTTTTTGCTAAGTCTTTGCTTTTCTTGTTCAAGCTGATGAACAACAGTTTCCAGGTCTGATTTTATAAGGAGTTCATCACTCAGTTTCTCCTTTTCTTTATGGCATAAGTTTAATTCCTGCCAATTTTAACACTATAATTAAGATTTCTAACAACTTTACAAAATATCATAGCACTTAGAAGTAAACAGATTATCTTTGTAAGCACATTTATATAATAGCAATTCACATATGTAGTATGTATGTGTGTCCACACACTTTTGATTGGTCAAAAATATGGTTTCAACTAAAGTTAATTATCAATGGTGGCTGAAAGTACCATAAGATCCAAATATCAACAATGTTCCTTTGTGGGCAGAACTATTAGATTTTATTTTCTTCTAATTTGTGTAGCATATCGCCCTATTTTTTTCTAAATGAATATGTACTTGTACAATAAAAAATTTTAAAGCTTGTTTAAAAAGAGGGCAGAGCTGGGCATAGTGGCATGTGCCTATGGTCATAACTACTCAGGAGACTGAGGCGAGAGGATTGCTTGAACCTAGGAGTTAGAGGCTGCAGTGCACTATGATCACACCTGTGAATAGCCACTGCACTCCAGCCTGGGCAACACAGTGAGATCCTGTCTTGAAAAATAAATAAATAAATAAAAGAGGGCAGTAGTAAGACATAGCATTCTAAGACTACCAGTGTATCCGTAACTATACTGGTTATTCTCTCAGCCTCATGTGCACAACGGAAATCATAAGATTAGGACACTGAGGATGCACTGGTATGGATGTGGAGTGTACTTTGCACAGTGTCCAGCGTATCTACCAGGGTGAGTACTTAATAAATGCTGGCTATTAATATCATGATCTTAAAAATACATAAAATATAACACTACCGGAAAAATAAAAAAGGTCAGAAAGCAACTATAGCAACATCTTACTGTTAGCCAACACAACTGGAACTTGGTCACAGCTCTGCGACAAGCATTATGAATCACATTCAACATTTAGTATGCATACAATGGCAGTGAACAAACAGCAAAAATCCCTTGCCTTCATGGAGCTTACATTCTAGTGAAAACATCATCAAAACACTTACTTTATATTCCCATAGAGAATTTTACAGTATGTTTGAGACTGAAGAGTGGACAACATTTAGCAGTTAGCTAATTTAATTATTCAGTGTTGAACACTTGCTATTAATAAATTGAATAAAAAGGAAGCCATTATGATACATTGTTCAGGCTACATACAAAAAGCACGAGTATTTGAGTACCTACTATGTGCCAGCATGTCACAATGGCTTCCTTTTTAATTGACTTGTATCACCAGGACATTGCAGTTAGACTGTGTAAAAAGACATGTAATGAGAAAACTTGGAAATTAGTATTAGTGTTTGTTTTCTATATTACAGGAAACTTTTCCAATTCAATAGGCTATTCAAAAAAATTGTCTAAATTTGGATGACCACTAGTTTCTACCTGTAAGCAAGACATTCTTTCTGCCAGTTCCAGACTGTAGAACTATGTGCTATAGCTAGGCTTCTGCTGGGATATTTTTTCATCTGGAGACTAACATAATAACCAATATGACTAGAAAAATGGTATTAACAAACAAAGGTATTAAAAGAGGACTGGGCGGTTTTCATAACAGTGAACAAATATATCAAATAATTATCAATTTCTGGTTTTAATATTATATTAATCAACTAACAAGTCATAAAGTAGTTAAAAGAATGTAAATTCCTAACAGGTTTCCAAATTTCAATTTTATTTGCCACCTATTATATATGAGATTAAAGAATCATAAAAATATATTGTATATCCATACAGTGGAATATTATTTAGCCATAAAAAAGAATGAAGTACTGATGCATGCTACAACATGCGTGAACCTTGGAAAACATTATGCTAGTCAAAGAAGCCAGATACAAAACACCACAGGTTACATGATTCCCTTTATATGGAATGGCCAACATAGGTAAATCTATAGAAACAAAAAGTAGATTAGTGGTTGTCAGGAGTAAAATAAAGCATAAAAATCTTCCTACTGAAAATGCTGGCAATTCAATATGACATCAACTTACCAGTTCCAGTTTTGCCACTGTTTCTTCAAGATCCCGCATTTCAGAGAGCTTTCTTTTAATCTCTTTCTAGGAATAAAAAGCCTGTTAGGTAAACACCTAAAAGTCTAAGAATACTTATCACTAAGTCATTTAATAAGACCAAGTAATTTTTTGAGCAACTTATGTTCCCTCTCACCAGTGAGGTCTGAGGCTTTAGCCCTAACACCCAATTTCAATAAAGAAGAGGCAAAATTGAGGATTCTCTTTAATCTTTCGATATCCTGAATACTTACAAAAGCATATTTGTAACATCTGAAGGAAGAGGGACACTTGAAAATCTTGTAGGAATTTCCATGAGGCAGTATTTTATGGCACTGTCATTTCCTGATTCTCCTATCCTACTTGCTTTCTCCTCACCTGCTTTTACCAATCTGGATGCTCTATACTACAACTGAGAGAGCAGAACGCCAGGATCAAAATATTAAACTCCAGTAGGAATCTTTTGTTGAGCCAAGTTGTCATTTCTGAGCATTGCCAATGGGACATGAGGAGCCATGTTCAGTATGCAGTGTGCATGAGCACAGATGCAAGAGGAGGTGGAAAAAGAGAGGGATGAGATACAGGAATGGTGCAGTGAAACTAAAACCATAAAAGTAGAATTAAAATTGCACTAATTATGTACTTTTTCAAGACTGTTTTGGTGATCGAGGGTCCCTTTGAGATTCCATATGAATTTTAGCATTTTTTTTCTATTTCTGCAGAAATTCCACTGGGACTTTGATAGGGATTGCACTGAATCTGTGTAGGGACACTTTAACAATATTAAGTCTTGCAATTCATGAACATGGGATGTCTTTCCATTTATTTGTGTCTTCTTTAACTTCTTTCAGCAATGTTTTGTAGTTTTCAAGTATACGTGAGTTTTTTACCTCATCAGTTAAGTTTATTCCTCAGTATTTTATTCTTCTTGATGCTACTGTAAATGGGATTATTTTCTTAATGTCCTTTTTGGACTGTTAATTCTTAGTGTATAGAAATGTACCTGTTGATTTTATATGCTACACTTTGCTGAACTGATTTATCAGTTCTCATTTTTGTGGAATCTTTAGGGTTTTCTACATATAAGTTCATGTCATCAATGAAAAGAGATAATTTTACTCTTTCTTTGCAATTTGCAAGCCTTTTATTTCGTTTTCTTGCCTAACTGATCGGCTAAGACTTCCAGTAAGTACTCAGTTGAACAGAAGTGATAAGAGTGAGCATCCTTATGCTTTCAGTCTTTTACTGTTGAGTATAATGTTTGCTGTAGGCTTTTCACATACAGTTTTTATTATATTGAGACAGTTTCCTTCTATTCCACTGATTAGTGGAGATGACACTACATAAAATCAATTCAGTGACATAGAGCAATGGTCTTCAAACTAGATTACAACTACTATTGGGATAACATGAAGATTTTCCAAGTATGATACAAAACAATGATATGCACAGAGTTTTACGGAATCAATATGTGGATTCTTAATTTGCATATACAGTGCTTCCTACAAATGATCTACCTAAGAACCTGCTTGTGGACTGGGTAACATGTGAGTTCTACACTCCCACCCTCCCTTTCACAGCTGCCTTTCTCTCGCTGTTCAAAGAAAGGCATGCATATCTCATCAATGTCACAAAGGCACAATGTCTCAAGATATAAAAAACTTTTGGAGCAGAAGATAAAATGATAATCTGAAATGTTGGGGCTGGCCACAGGCTTGAAATAAGACACGATTTTCTCCCATTATGTTTCATCAAAAGATGTATTTCTAATAAAATTTTACTTTTTAAATTTAATAAGTATCTGTCAATATTTGTCATATATTTATAACTTTATTAATATTATTGATATTGATAATTGTGATAATACTATTCAGAGAAAAATGTTAATGCTTTGAAACTTACAGTCGCAGGAAATTTTGAAAATAAGAAATTTCAATTCATATACTTTTTTATTGCTGATGTATGATAGCATGATCATAAAAAGACATTCAAGGCCAGGCGCAGTGGCTCTCGCCTGCAATCCTAGCACTCTGGGAGGTAAGGCGGGAGGATTGCTTGAGGTCAGGAGTTCAAGATCAGCCTGAGCAAGAGCAAGACCCTGTCTTTACTAAAAATAGAAAAAAATTAGCTGGGCATGGTGATGCCCACCTATAGTCCCAGCTACTTGGGAGGCTGAGGCAGGAGGATCGCTTGAGCCCAGGAGTTTGAGGTTGCTGTGAGCTTTGATGATGCCACTGTACTCTAGCCAGGGCAAGAGAGTGAGACTGTCTCAAAAAAAAGACATTCAAGTTATAACAGGATAAAGTTTTGTTGAGGTTTCAAGAAGAAAGGGTGATTTAGATTTCATTGGCTATAATTAAAAGAATGATGAGACAATTTTATTTTAAGAGAACAATATTTTTAATAGAGTAGAAATATCATCCTTTCCATCTATTTAAACTTAGAAATAAAAAATATCTGCTACCAACTTAAAAATGTGCAAGGACATACATAGTTTTAAAAACATCTTTAAAGGATTCTTGAGCAAAAAATGACATACAGAACAAACTTCAGAAGCTCTCTCACAATGCAGAGATAAAAAGACAGAGATGAAAATCTTGAAGAAAATCAGAACAGAGTTTGGAGATCTATCCAAAGAATAGGTTTGCTTCAGAAAGACACACAAACAACTAGAACAGATATAATCGGAGGGTATAAACAACACTTAAGAAAATCTTCAATTACCAAAGCAAAAACAAAAAATCCAAGAAATAAACCAACAACCTGAGTACAGATATCAAAAGGGGTTACACTCACTACATTCTCAGAGAATTAATGAATACTCCCACAAACTACGTATCATTACCTTTGCTTCCCCAAGTTCTTTATCAGCAGTCTCGAGGACTTCCTCCTTATGTCTTTCCAACTGCTGTGCTAACTGGTCTATTTCAGTTAATTCTTGGCAGAGTTTTTCATTTTTGTTACTTAAATTAACAACTTCAGATGTCACCGTTTCCTTGGTTGCCATAAGTTCTTGTATATGCTTCTCCAGGTCTTTATTAGCTTGCTGAAGAAAGTCAACCTATATTGAATTTGTAGTTCATAATGTATGTAAATTGGAAAATTATCCTAATTA